GTAGAAATCCTTTCAAGATCTTTTACGGAAGCAGGAAGGAGATCGATCAGTGTGGGAATACCCATTTGCTGTTGCTGGTGTTAACATCACATTCATGCTTATTCAGATGCTTGATCTTGAAGCAGGTTGTTTTACTGTAGCTTACTAGTCTCAGCATACTTCATGTATAAAACGATGAAAAAGGGATGCCTATACGTATAGTGGGCATATTAGTTTCGCATTCTAGTCTTGTGTTTTAATCCTCTGAATGTTATGCTGTTATAAATTGCTTAGGATATTTTACCAATTATTCTTGCATACTTCAGTATGACTAGTTTCCACTGATCATTATCTGAGTAATGGCCAGTGCCACATTGTAGTTATGAGGGATTAGATTCGATGTGTCTTTTGGCCTTTCTCCTTATCCCGGGAGCATAATGCTTTTACTTTATTTGAAAGAATGGAAGAAGTTGGTAAATGACAGGCCAGCCTTTATACATCCACTCTGTACTTTAAAACATTTTCATTCAGTTTTTTGCATGGTATTTAAAATTGTTCTTCAAGTTAAAAGGTATATCTCCATGTCCTTGGATTTAAATAAATTGTTTTGGACATGCGAATATGGATTTTTATCGATTATAATATTTTAATTGTATTTTCTGATGCGGGATATCACGAAACTGCATGTTTCTTAATGCAGACTGTTGCATATGTTTTTCACAAGTAATTAATTAAGTTTGATTATTAGGTTTTCTGTTACTAATGTAATTTTTGTTTTACTTGACAGTCAAACCTCGGACCCTGGTAGGAGCAACTTTCCTAAAATTTATTGCAGGTAGTCTTTATTTTTGCTCTCGTTAATCATTAAATTTTATTTGTAATTTTTTTTCAGTTTACATCGGAAGCAGGAAGGTGGGAGCTTAAGAATAATAAAATGCTAAATGTTACAAAAGTATTTGGGCCTGTTTCGAAGAACTTCTTCACAAACTCCCAGAAAATAAAAAGGAAAAGAAAAAGGAAAATTGAAATTAGTTCCTTCTTAAGCTATCTTATGCTTAGTTATTTTATAGAAACTTTCTCATAACAGCACTACTTTAAATTTTTATTTTAACTTATGAGTAACTTAAAACTTAAGGAGCAGTTAATTCGTTTTTATCATGCTTCAAGTTTAAATTTTTGTTTTTCTTTCTTAGAAGGGTTTATGGAAAAGCTCATCCAAACAAAATCTTGATACATTTGTTTTGATTTATGAAGGCATTTTTTAAGGAACATGTTTCTTCCACTACCTCTCACTTTTCTTTTCTAACTTTTTTCTCCCACACAAATGGTGCTTCATAATTTGTGATAGGTTCATGAAAAATCTTTCCTGCAAAATGGCATTGCTTGGGAAAAATACTTGTGTTTGTAGTTTTTACTTGATAGTGGTGGTCTTCTTTTTATGTTAGTTTCGTTCTTAAAATTTAGTAAATTAATTTTTATGCTTGTCTAACAGAAAATGAATCAGCTTTTGATCTTCTCTATTGCATTACATTCAAGATGATGGATCAACAATGGCTTTCTATGCGTGCGTCATACATGGATTTTAATGTATGTATTCCTGATCATGATATTATTCTTCATAGATAAGGAAATATATGGAACTAGCAAATTTAACTGAAGTATGTATGTTTGTTTGGGTTGTAAGTGATTATCAACATGTTACTTGTGTTATAACAGACAGTAATGAAATCTACACGACGTCAGCTGGAGAAAGAGCTTTTGCTTGATGACATAATGCGGCTCGAAGATATTCCTTCATACAAACTTCTCACACGATAGTTATCAGTGCTTACTTGGAGTCTACTAGTTTTAGACAGAAGGTTGTACTTGATGTGATGCTACTCTTATAATTTTCTTTCCTTCCAATTCGGCATTTAACCTTCTAACATCTGAGCAAGAGTGAGGCGAGCCTAAGTATGATATCATCGAGGTTCTAGAGGCAGCAGGTAAGATTTTAATCTAGTGGGAGGAAGATATTGTGGGTGGGACAAACAAACTGTAAGGAGAGTATGAAATGTAGGTTTGCTTGTAATGAATTGTGGTTTGCCTATATATTTCATCAGTGTCCATTAATTGGAAAATATAGTTTGCAGTATTGTAATTCAGGCAGGAGTACCTCGGTAGATAGATTCTGCCTGGGCAATGTTTGTTGAGGAATTAATATACTGCATATTGTTGTCTGAGTTGATTGGCCAAAAGTACCCTGTTTCTATTGTGTGCATATTGTTTTAATCTTAGTATGGGAAGCGGTTTTTCATGGTCTTATTCTGGTTGGTGATGTCGAAAGAATCAACTGATGGTAAGATCTGTTCGAGCTGTGCGGAGCTACTTGGACTCGTGATGAAGATACTGCAAATATAAACCAGCCGAGTGAGTTATGTATCTAAATTTAGACTCGTGGGATGATATTTAATGACTCGGGTTAGTTGATTAAGTGGGCAATTTAGTTTCTTAATAAAACTAGACCAACCCACATAATATTAGACCGGTGCTCTATTTTTTTTCTCTTCTAATTCTAATTTTTTGCAAAATAAAGAAAATTAATTATAAAATGAGGCTGAAATCATCCATGCCTTGTCGTGTACTGTTTATCCACGCACTTTAATTACTATGTAGCATCTTTTTCTATAATCGATTAACCTTTGTAAATGAGGAAAGAGAGAAAAAAATTATTTGTGCAATTTACACTGAACTTCTTGGGACTTACAAAAGAATATCTAATGGTTGACAACGTTAGGTATGTGATTTGAAAAAGTAAGTTTTGTTACACAAATACCTCTATCTTTATCTATTGAAGTAAGGGTGCAGCGTTGGCCATTGTCCTATAAAAATGGAGGCGTAGCTGTTGGGGTTTTTGTGGGGGATAAAGTAAGAAGATTCACTGTGAATGAGAGATATGAGTTGTCCGTACAAGATAGTATGACACCATTCATCCAAAACTTCAACATTATGCGTTATTGGATTTTTTCTTCTTCTTTGATACTCAAGCTTTTTTTTCGAGTCAATATAATACTTTCAATTTATATTTAGATTATTAAGGGTTTGTTTTCCTCAAGTTACTTGAATTTTATAATGATTTTTTACCATTATAATACATTATTATCCCATCCATTTATCTAAACAGTATTCCTTTGGTCCTATTTGTTGTTGAGTTTTTAGCGTAATGGGATAGTTAACCACACAAATCATTGACTGTAATACTACTATTTATATCTTTATAGAGATTTCTAACAATTTCTTTAAGTGTGAATTAAGGTTTTACATTATACTTTTTGATAAGATAGACATTATCAATGTTTTTGGTATTTTACTTTTTACTAAAAATTAATTTATTTTCTCTTTAAAATTTTAGACTAATTTAGTCCATCGGTTTATAATTACATGATTTAGTCATTTTAACCACATTTTTTTAAGTTTATTTGAGATTTCAAATATATTTCTCAACTAACATTAAAAAAAATGTGTCAAACAGTGTAAACAACTCAAATATTATCATGAAATAGGTTTGAAATATCAAATAAATTTAACAAAATTTGATTAAAAAGACTAAATTCACACATTTTTAAAATTAAAAGACTAAATTAGATTAAATCTTTGAAGAGAAACTAATTCTAATTTTCAATGAAAGTTAAAGAAACAAAAACATATTTAACCTTATAAAATAATATTATCTTCAACCTAAAACAATAAATATTAAGATTTAAGTTAAAGGTGATGTCACAATTTTTTATATATACAATTCATACCTCATTATTATTATATCTTCTCAATTTCTCATTTTAAAAATTCTAAAACAATAGCTTCTCATTCTATTGTGAAGAATTTTTCATCTTGGAGCTCATTGTCTTGAAAGTGCTCTTATTATAAATATCAATTTTGTATCATGCTATTTTGTTCTCTTCAATTTAATTTGTTTGTCTTCAAATGTAAAATTATATAATTTTGCAATTAATAACTTTGTAATTCTATAATTTTACAATTTTATCATTTTATTCTAAAATTTATTTCCATGACTCTTTTGTAATCAGTCTCAAAGCAAATGTTACATTAAAGTATGTTGCAACAAAATAACATATTAAAGAAGATGATAATACAAGATAACATCCATGTTATCCAGTTATAAAAAAAAAGTTAAATAACATGAACTTAATTAAAAAATATATATTTTTCTAATATTTAATAAACCATAACAATTTAATAGAGAGTCGATTAAAAATATCTATTTTTTTATCATCAATACAAATGTTATTCTTTGCATTTATTTTTTATTTGAAAATGTTGATTAAGAAAATTTTCACTCAGACATTGATTTGAATTGTTTGATAATAAAATAATTTTTGGTATTGAGTACTAATTGAAATACTTTATTCAAATTAGAAAATCCAAATTTAATAAATTTAAATTAATTTATCCAAATAAATATTTCTTAGAAATGAAACAATATTTAAAATACATTAATTCAAATTTAACATATTTAAATATCCTCAAAAGTGGATTTTCCTATCCACAGAGCATTGACGGTTATGCGTGACTGATTTTTCTTGGTTGAACAAATTGACGCATGAGACCAACTCAACCACTTTAGCCACCAGAATTTAAGTTCCCAAAAGTTGGGGTAAAGCCCAAATTTGTGCATAAAACAACAACATTTTTTCTGAATATTCTCAATGGAGAGGAGGTAGTTCTGAGAAACGTAGATCTAACAAGTGAGAATGAGCTAAATTGGCCAGAAATCTGCAATTTTGTTATGATCTTTACGTAATGCATGTACAATCCTCGTATGTTTTTTATTCATTAGTGTAAATATTTTTTTACCATGAATTAAATGATAACAGTCAATGTACCGGTACTGCAAAAATCAAGATATCTTATACACAGTGAAAGTTCATGACATCCCTACACCTATATACATTTGTCTTACCTAAGTAAAGAGTAATGATAATAAAAAATCTATGTATATATTGACAAAAAAATGTTCCGTAAATATGAACCAAACAATATCTTTTATGGGGGTAATGGTTCCCTCCAAACAGGAAAAATAAGGAGAAAGAAATGTAAGGAAAGTTGTAATAAGTATACATATACAGAGGTTTCAACTTTGAAGAACGTTGAACTCTGTGACAAGTACATGACAACATACGTATCAATCAAAGTTGCTTAATTAAGTTGATAAATACACGTAGATGATTATAACCTAACGACCAACATTGACCTAGAAAGAGGTAAAGCATTCATGCTCCGATGAATTTGAGTCCTCGCAAGGAGAGTGATTGTGTCTTCCTTCGTAAGTGGTTATCACCATACGACAATCCTCTGAGAGTCGTTCAACTCTTTTCTTCACCCTGCAGTTGTTGTGGGTGCAACGGTAATAACTTCTGCAACATCCAAAACAATGTTGAAACAAATACCTCAGAAACTCCAAAGATATATTTAATTTTTTTTTGTCATCATCCTAGTTCAATGAAAGACTGTAAATTCTTGACGTGCATGACAGAAACTGCTTACAATAGTTGTAGCTGGTCTGTGTTCATTACATTTATCATCAGAAAGGTTATTCTTAGCAGAGAACTATATAATAAAGGATAAAAATTTGGATGAAATTTGTAAGAGTACTTTTGGTTTTGGTGCTATTTTTCAACTCTTGATGTTTTGTTTGTGCAAGTTAGGTTAACTTTTGTAAACCTCTACTAAGATCATACTGAATTCTGATTTTAATAATACAAAAAATAAAAAACTAACCATTTAAGTTTTTTCTAACAATTAAACCAGTCTTACCTCTGCCCACTAGGGTTTGCTTAGAAGTAGAGTTTGATTATATGCTTGAAATCATATGTTTATTGTCATAGTTTTTTTTTTTAAAGAACTTAAAAAAAACAACATTGTATAAACTCTATATATATATATATATATATATATATATATATATATATATATATATATATATATATATTCTATGATTGGTTAGTGTTATATGTTGTGCTTTCTTTAAAACTTGGCAATCATTCTTTTTTACATGGATGGTGTCTTAGTGTGCCATTACAGAGTTACTTAACAATGAAATTGCTTTAAGACAGTAATGTTGACATTAATTAGAGTTGTGATTTTTACGAAACACCAATTTTTTGTCATTATAATACATCTAAGATAGATTCTACTAACCCTTTATCAGATTCATTCATGAATCATGTCGTCTTTCAAAACTTTTATATAAAGTATAGGTATAAAGACAAGGTTATTGTGTGCTTAATATTAGTTAAATATACTATGCATGTGACAAAAGAAATTAATGAAAAATTAACAGAATTATCGTACGCAATAATATGTTATTGATAGTATAAAAAGTGCATATTATTATTAACATTTTGATTGTTCATAATGCCTAATTTTTTTATTCCCTAACAAATATTTTTCATGATATAAATAATCTTTTTAATAGATAGGAAAGAAAATAAATAAATTTATATTAAATATGTTTCAAAGGTACAAAAATTAAATGTTTTTATAATTAGTTAAAGTATTTAGTTTTTTGAAAAAATAAACTCTTAATGATACATTTGAATCCTACCAATAAGAATAAGGCATTTAAACCACACTAAGTGAAACTTTTAACCTCAAATAAATGACTACACAAAACCTTAGGGTATATCAAATGCGACATTCTTCTTATTTTGTTTAAGGAATCCCTATTTAATTTTCTCTTATACAAATAAGGTTAGGTGGCCTGTCAATATCATATTCGTAAAACAAGTAATAATTATAGACTTTTTAAACAAGTATTTAATTAAATTGGAAAACAAGTATATAATAGTTATGTATTTTTAAAAAAAAAATTGAAGTCTTTATAAAAGAACTAGTTGATTGGCCTTACGATCATATTATATAAGATAATAAATTTAAGAAACATGTAAACGGATTTAATGAAAATACATTAATATATATATGTAACTTCACACCATCATCTAATATGTTATATAGCTAATTATAGGTTGCTTATGGTAAAAAATATTAATTCTTGTAAAATCTATTCTAAAAGTCATTAATAATACGTTATATAGATAATTGGTCAGAGAAAACATAATACTGAAAATGTATAAACTTTAAATTTTATATAATTTAAAATTAGAAAAATTTAAGTTTCTTGACATATCATTCATGTTTCTATCCTATCTACAAGTGAGAAATAAGGGTGGCAGATATTTATATAATTTCTTAATGCAATTAAAAGATATAAAGTAAGATTTGGTATGATTATTTAGTTTTTTAGATGTACTTCTTAGATATTTATGTTCAAAAGCATGGCATTAAAAATGCGTAATCCTCTCAATAAAAATTCAAACTTAAAAAAGAAAATCATATTATGTTTTAAATATATTCTACTTTTTCTATTTAATTTTTATAATTATATTTCTTTTAAGAGTAAGTTCGCAGTTCGCATACATATACAGCAAATTAATGATGAATCAGTAATGAAGTCAAGCTGTGTCCCTTCATAAGAATTTAATTTAATTTTTTTCCTTGTTCTTTACATTCCGTGTTTGTTCAATGTTCGAACTATAATAAGCAGAGAGAAAATTTTCCAATTTCCAAATGTCAGCGTAAAATTTGAATGGCTAAACTAATAATAAAGAAACATAGAAAACATCGGTTGCTGAAAATGATAATAAATCTTGTTGGTTTCACATAATATCATCCAATTAATTTAAATTGGAAATTTTACTAAAAAATGCATGTGTACCAACTTATGCTTCTTATGTATACCGAAATAAAAATTAAAAAAAATCATCAAAACGTATTAAATATTATTCTAACCCAAATAATATATATGAAAAAAAAACATAAAACTCTAAACTATTTGCCAATCTCATAATATATACCTTTTTTTATTATTAAAAGAATCAACTTGTAATATGATGATAAAGTTTTATTTAATATTTTTCTAAGGGATAAACAACATAAATTCCTATGATTTGTTAAACCTGTCACTTAAAATATAAGAATTGATCACTGATATGTATTAAGTTATATATGCATATAGTTCCTTTGTCGAGAAACAAACTATTGTTTCCACACCGGTATAATTCCTCTATTTTATTTTATTTTAAAAATGGCTATCATAAAGGTTGGTACTGCATCACTTTATGATGTTAATAATTGTTTTTTAAACAATATACATTACTGTCATGTCCCATCATCCTATTATAAAACCTATTTCTGCTAATTCCAGTTCCATGAACCTTCATTCCTGAAGTCATTTCAGCTCTTTCCACTCTCCTAATTGCACTTATAAGTACATATCTTTAAGTGCAATCTTGTGACGATGATATATGTATATGATATCTTGCTTTTTAGTTTAAGGATATTGGATTTACATAGATGAAACTTTGACCATTTCCATTCACAAAGTACCTTTTCAGTAAAAATATTCTCACTGTTTCTTCCCATGCACGCAATACACAAAAAAAAAAGTTTATCTTTTGAGTCAAATTACTAGTTACAGATATGTAAGGCAATGACAGTGTTTGAAAAACAAAAAATTTACTGTTTGAACACTAGCTTGTTAAATAACCTAGATTAATAAAGCTTGTTTAATTAATGCATGCATGATCGATTTGCTTATCATCAGATCCTGTAGCATGTCTCCAATGTTGTCAACATTTTAGAAAGATCCCATTATATGTTTCAACTAGTCCAGCACACAATAACTGGTTCATGCACAGCTAACTTATTCAACTCTTAGCTTTTTATCTGTTGTAGTAGCTTTGAGACACATGCCAATAACTATTTTCCCCCTTTTCTCATTCAAGATCAAATTTATGTAAAACCTTTCATCATAATGTAGCTCAAAAATAGATTTATTGTGCTTTATCAACTTTTTTGTCCTATATATGTCAATTGTGAGTGTCTAATTAAAACTTTATTGCCACATATATAAAACTTAAATTGTATCAATTCAGTAAAAAATAAAAAATAAACGATAATCCGAAACCCGTCCTAAACCTTAGTTTGCTGATACTTTTTCTTAAAGAAGAACCTTCAGATGTTCTCACAATATTATACAGTTGTGCAAATTTTGTATGGTGTTATTACTCCATTTAAGCTCCGTGCATGGAACCGATGAATTAGTTAAATTAAAGTAATAGTATAATTAAAGTAATGAACTCCATGCATGAGTAATTAGGTTTATTTAGATAGATGAAAAGAAATATAATTAAAATGGTAACAGTTTTTATGAGATTTTAACATAAGCAAGAACTGGATTTGGAAAACTTATATAGATAAATGATTGAGTTAGGAGGAAAAACTTTAAGTTCAACTACAGCTTTTACAGAGATGGATGAATATGTAGAGAACTTTTGTCATAGAAATACCACGACAAAATGGATGGTTTTGAAATAGAGTACGAAAGAGGGGACCCTATAGTGCATCTTACTGTCAAAACACTAATAATAGCCCACCAAATATTACAAGTGATTATATATATATATATACCTATTTTCTCCCTTCCCTTTCGATTAGCCTGGGCTCAGTTAATATGCATCAACAATGCATTATTCTCTTCTGCATTTTATGTGGTATATATATTGAAAGAAATGATAATGAATGATTCCTTCTATATATATATATAGGTGATAGATTCCCTGTATTTCTTTTGTCATCAGACTTTGTAGCATCCATTTGTTTCTGAGAAACAAAAGTCTAAGATGAATGATGCCGATAAATGTTGTGACTTGTGATCAGGATTTGATTTAAATTATTCACCACCGACACACTTTTCCCAGAAAAAGACATTTTACCTTCATTCCCCCGGGTATAATGCCTCTGATATTGCCAGTGTACTCAACCACAAACACTTCTGTTCATAGACACTTTCACACACCAAAAGTATATCACATACTTTATATTTATTTATTTTTCAATATCTTGTAATTATTATATTCAATGAATGTCATTTGATTGGGTGGTTGAGAAGAATTCTTCAGTTCAAATCCTAGTTATTATGGCTTCCTTTTATCCAAACCAACTGCTGCTTTAAATTCAGTTTTGCAAACGTATATCAATGAATCATTTCATAGTTAGAAAAAATTGAACTTTCACGTGAATATATATATATATATATATATATATATAACTCATTATGGTCATTAAAATTGAAGAAAATACATGGCTTGAGCAAATATATATAATTAAAATGCATATATGATTAATGAAGATTTGAATATTACCTCGGATGAAGGCTATTTTTGACAACTTTCTGGCCATATTTCCTCCATTTGTAACCATCATCAAGCACATCTACATCGCTTCTTGTTTGAAAACAAAACCTTGGTTCTCTTAGCTTCCTCCTTATTTTCACCTTGTTCTTCTCCGAAGCTGCGCTCCTCCACCTACCACAACAATATATAACGTAATTAACTTCATTCGAAATATTCTTTATACCCGAATTGAAAGAAAAACAAAGACAATTAAAGAAAATCGACAAGTGATCTGTCTGAGAGAGAACATGTGAAGTCAAGGATTCAGAAGGGTTGTGATTCGTTTCAGTTCTTGATGTCGCAGAAAATTGTAGAGATAAATATATAATGTGATCGCATAAACTAAAACTTGTGGGTAAATGCGGCACACAGTCCCAAACTGTTTGCAAAATACTATCACAAAAACTCAAAAAATCTCGATGTTGGGAAAAAAATTGGAACTGTCTTTTAAAACCTTGAATTCAGACAAAGAATATATCTCTTTAACTGGATATATAAATAAATATCTACGTGCATGCACACAGACAGAGAGAGAAAGGGAAGATAAGAGAGGAAAGAGGGACATAAATATATAGAAATAGTTATATATACCAAGAGTTGTTGTTTCCTTCACTAGCGTTTCCAGTGCAGTTTTCTTCATCGACAGCCTTTGGATCCAGAGTTTCGACCTGAAACAATAGCGTAAGCGAAAAATCCTTCTGAAAATAATACCCTAAGATCGAGTTTATTGAGTATTAATTGAAATTAAGGAAATGAATTTTGGAAAGTAGAATAGAAAATGAATAAGCACCTGGTCGTTGTTATTCCAAGTTTTGGTGAGAAGTTGAGTGTGATTCATGAATCCGATGGTTGCAGCAGTTGTAGTGGCAGAAGAAACAACTACATCGGAGTTTAAGGATTGAGATTGTGAAGAGGGTGACAAGAAGCCAAGGAGCTGGTTTTCTTCATAGTGAACAAAACCCAATTCGTGTATGGGTTGTGGGGTGTTGGAGAAGGAAACTTGAAGGTCATAATTGGTAGCAGCAGCTCTCTCTCCTTCCATATTCCACTTTTGGAATGCTTCCAATTTGAATTTGACTCACTGAGTGGTGTTTTGATTCGTCTGCTTCCTAGCTATATACCTAACTATGCCTCTTCTTCTCGCATAATACCTCAAATCTTATGCCCAGTGATTGGAAAGAACATAGAAATTTAAGGGTAATTGAGCAGGGCCAGGACAAGGGTTTTGTACTTGGTCAACTGCTACTATGGAAATTATTATTCCTTCCCTTTTCTTTAAGGTAGTCTATTCTATTCTACTCTTTTACACACACTCTCACACTCTCTATTAGAATACACGTGCATTGTCCCACAATGTTTTTCAAGCGACTCTCTCTCAATTATCGAATTACCAATGTCCTGTCTTATTTAATCGCCTCAACTTGTGTCCATATATATCTCATATTTTAAGGAATTAAAAAACAAACAAAACCCTTGTTAAAACTTGTACAATATTTAAATGGATTTTTTCTTTTTCGCATGACTTTAAATATAGACTTGTCTGGGTTCTTCATAATGTATTCTATACAAACTTATTTATCAAATTAAGATATTGTCATTATTTTATTACAATATAGTTCATCTTTCTACTTCTGTATAGCTCATCTGTACATAACAAAAAAAATCATCTCACCTTAAACTCTTCACATTAATTAATATTAATTAAACTGAATTTTCATAGAACCGAATATATTAATAAATTTTTCATTGTTTATTCTGTAAACTTCACTTTATGAAATGACTGTTTAATCCTTCCTGAAGACATTCATGTAATCGCAGAATCAGATGCACACTCCTTATATTCTTATCAATCACACTCGATTCAATTATATATAAAAATAACAGATTAAATTTATTTTCCTAGATAATAAAATAAAAAGTTAAATTAAATGTTGAATGATTGAGAATAAATTAATTTAATTCGTATGCGTTCCTATTTATTCCGTGTAAAAATTATTTGAGCAAATTTCTAATGAGGTGCTTTTTTTTTTCTAACAAAATGTAGAAGAAAAAACTGACCAACATTGTTGAATTCTACTCATATTCTCTCTTCTCGGTAAATCTTGTCATTCTGAAAGATTAAATTTTATCAAATGTCAATTGGGTCGGCAACATCTCTCCATCTAAGCTTTCAATTACATGATTGACACAATAGGCAACCACGAATTACCCTTGCAAATTATATTAAAAGAAACTGCTATAATATAATAGATCGCTATAGAATGAGACGTCTTATTTTGTTGAATAAAAAATAAAATTAATCACAAAATAAAGTAGAAAAAAAAAATCCTTCAATCAAAATATTTTTTGTTGAATGGTTTTTGTTATATTTTTAATAAAATATATGAGGTTTATTGTGGATAATTCAATACTAGATGGAACAATATCTCTAATACACTACAAATTTCATTAATTAAGATTTTTAACTTTGATTAATCTTATCAAACATTATAAGATAAGATTCACACTCATTTATACTATGAATTGGTTTTATTTATAATTATGCTCATATTTTCAATCATTAGTATCTGTTTAAGTTAAACTTATCCTAAATGGTTTATCTAATAAGGAATTGTAATTTTTTATATGAGATGTTAGGAGAAAGCTAGGTGGTCAGGAATTACATTTGGAGAAGGAATTAATTTTTGTTTGGGGTGAATGTTACATGTACTCTAAGTTTAGTGTCACTCTCTTGATGGATGATTTTGGAGAAATCATAGACTTTGTGAGTATTCTATTAAATTTTCTCTTGATTTTTTGCCTGCTCATAATTTACTCCAAGCTAATTATGTTTTAGATAATACTATGTTTGATAAATATGGAAGTGTTTTCCCTTTCAAAGGTAGTTTAACTTATCATCAAGAATGCTTCTAGATAAGGTTCTTACTTGCGATAATCTCTTTCAAGAGAATGTTATTTCAGATGTTGATTTTACTCATGTTCATTGTAATATATGTATTTGAAACTTCTCTACACCTTTTATGTCTGATTTTTGTTCATAGGTGTGGTATTGAATATCTGGTTCGTTTTCTAATCTGAGAAAAAAAGGGTGAAGTTATTATAACATATTTCCCTTTTTTTATTGAGTTTATTTTGAACTCATCATTTAATAAAAAAAGTGTGCTGATTTAACTATATAATAATTAATTTGAGAAGGCTATTTATTAATTTTAATGACAACTCAAGCTTAATAGTATATGAGAATTAATTCGACTTTGTTTAGATAAAAACTTCTTACACAATTATTGGAAAATATAATTAAAAAAAAACACAAGCTTATTGGTCATATGATAAGATGAGCTTATATAGTTTAAATAAGTTTTTTTTTTCGAAAATTTAAACCTAACAATGTTTTAGAAATTAATTTATACGTTCTCATAAAAAAATATCATTTAAATTTTATTCTTTATTTTTTTCTCTCTTAAAAGATTTATGTAAACTAATCCAAATAAAACTTAAATAACTCTAACATGCTCCACAAAAGTTTTATTTTCCAAAACTTATTCTTAGACATGGATGAATCCAAAAACTTATTAATTGAAGAGATTGAAAATGTTTGTGAGGATGACTGCAAAAATTAAATTACTTCAACAATTATATATATATATACATATATATATATATATATATATATATATAATCGATTATAGACAGAATTAGATTTTGTTTGATTGAATTTGCAGAAAGGAAAGTTTTAAAATAAATAATTTTATTTTAAAGCAAAAAAAAAACATTTTCATAAAAGATAAAGAAATTGAAATAAAAATGTTAAAAATATTCATGAATTACAAGTTTTCATATTCATAAAATGGTTTGTTTTTCAGATTTTTCTTACAAATTCTTGTTTCAAATATATTCCACTCAAGTTCTAAACATTTTTTTTTGTCATTTTAAAACAACTAAAATCAGTATTAATACTATTTCCTAAATATGTTGTGTGATGTGACTAATCCAATCAACTAAAATTCTATTGGTAGAAGAAATTAAATATTTTTATAATAAGAATATGTATAATGTTATATATTTGGATTTGAGGTCCCTTATTCAAATTACTCTAAGTATGTCTTGAAAGTTGAATGAGCTTTTTAGTGGTCATTCATACGTTGTTCGCTCTCCTTCTTACCTGTCAAAGTCGTGTGGGTGAGTAATTGTCAAAAGACACTCTGACGCTCAAGTCAGTAATATAATCGATCGGTTATTACAATAGGTGATACATATAATGCGCATAATCCCCTAAAGTCATACCTGAGACTTTTATTTATATTAGTTGTGATGGACTTTTATCTTTTACGGGCCTAATGACGACCCAATAACACCTTAATTTGGAGTGTTACTCCCTCCACCACCACATAGTGCTTCCTGCACCTCCCCATTCTTTTTTTACCCTTCCATATTTAATGTGATGGTTAAAAATTTTAACTTTCTACAACTTCCAACCACTTCATTAATGATTCCCACCAATATATGAATGCACCCTCACACTTCACCACTTCCAACGGAAATCAAATTCTTCTTCTTTTTCTTTCCCCTGTAACTGTTCTTCTTTAAAAATAAAACAATTCGAAACAAAATCAATTAACTTTAATTAAATTAATAATAATTAATTCATTAAATAAAACAAAATTAATTTTATTATATATACATAATTTACTTAAAATATAATTATAATTAAAATATAATTACTTAACTTTAAAAGTATCTAAAAATTAATTTACAAATTAATAAATTAATAAACTAAAAAGTAAAAAAAATAAAAGAATTTGTTCAGCTTTCCATGCTTTCTTTTATTTTTCCTTTTACAAACACTTCATTTATAAATAAATAATAATATAGAAAATATTAAATTAAAATAATGTACAAAAATTAACAACCGAAATAAATTAAATTAATAACCTAAAAAAACAAGAAAATGAAACTCTAAGGTCTCAACAAAGAGATCCGTTGGACCGTCAACGGAGGAAAACACCCAAAACGTTGAAAGGCTTCAACAGATATGGGACATTCGTTAAGTCTTCAACAGATCTTGAGATTCATCCACGGATATCGAGATTCGTTGAAGACTCAACGGATGTCCCATATCCGTTGCAACTTTTGGCGTTTCTCTTCTTCTTTGTTTAACACAAAATAGAGGTGCATATAGAATCACTAACTTGGATCAGAGACAACAACAAAGGAAGCAACAAACTCTACAGCACTATGAATCCACCATGAATCAAGCAACAGCAGAAACCCACCACCAATCAAGCACCAGCACGAACCAAGGAGAATAAGAGAGGAAGAGAGAAAGTAAGAGTCTGGGATGGGGGTGGGGGTGTGGTGTGCAACTCAGTGAATAAGAGAGTAAAAATTAAGGTTGGGTAAACGTAAATAAGGATATTTTTGGAATTAAAAAAAATTAGGGAGGTATAGGAAGCAGTGTGTGGTGGTGGAGGGAGTAACGCTCCTTAATTTGCATTAAGAGCTTAATGAGTCATTACCGTTGATAATCTTACCATATTATTAAGTCATATTAGGCACAACCTAGGCCTAGATGGACCCATAAGGACGACCTGGATAAATAGACGGTCTGGGTGGATGCCATGAGAGGACAACCTAGGTGGTCGTCCTGGGTGGACGGCCTGAATAGATGACTTGAGTGGACAACCTAGAAAAACAACCTAGAAGGACTACCTGAGTGTTGCTTAATATACTTTGAAAGAAAACTGAAGGAGACATAATAAGTATAAAAATAATCGTGAGTGGATGTACGTTAAAAATTTCTTACCAAAAAGGTCCAAGGTTATAGGTAGAAAATGGAGAATAATTTAAAATATAAAACGGTGTAAATGTTAGACCTAAACTTTCATAATTACAATAATTAATAAAGAATGAAAAAAAACTATAACAATTTTTCTTATTTATAAATATAAAAATATATAGTAAGTAATACGAGATTCTCTATATAATTCATTCATTAACATCTCAAATTGTGAATTTTCTTATTCGAACTATTCTCTTTTCCAATCCAAACATCATTTTCAAAGATTATAATTCCATCTTCCTAAGACTCTATCATTAAATTTTCGATAAAGATAAAATATAGTCTCGAGAATGCATATGCTAATTATCTTCTTCCCAATTATCTATCCTTTCAAAATCTTATCTTTTTGTGTC